TCTTCTAATTGTTTCCCAGTATCGCCCATTTCTTTGGCTATATTGGGGTCTAAATCAGACAAAATTTCTCGCTTCTGAACTCTTACTAACTTGCTACTTTTTAGTGCAGACAAAGGGGTTGGATTCTTGGCAACTAATGAAGAAAATATTTCTTCTATATCTTTTTTTGTTAAAACCATGTCTGATTTATTAGGTAAAATGGCGGTAGAACTGTTAAGTTTTTTATTTGAAACTCCATCAGAAATATAACATGAATTATTTATAAACAGTGTGCAATTGATAGAACTTTCATTAACTAAAGGTAATTTAATGATTGAGCTGATATTGTTTTCTTTTATGCTAATATTACTTGTGTTTAAAATAATCAGGGGTATAGTTGCAACAGTAGAATTCTCTTTTAAAGCAGGATGCATAGAAGAACTGGTATTTTCTTTTAAAGTCAGAATTTCATCTTTTTGCAATATTGAAGAATTTTGAAAAGGTTTTTCGCTATTAATTTGAGCACTTATCAATATTTTCTTTGATCTGCTGTCATAATATATACCATCTTTTTTAACACTATTTAAAAACTGTCCTTCAACATCATCAAATAAACTTTTAGCCTGAAAGAAAATAAGAACAGTAATAACTAAATTGTAATAAACAAAATGTATATATATATATATATATATATATATATATATATATATATATATATATATATATATATATATATATATATATATATATATATATATATATATATATATATATATAATATAAAATAAAAAAGTCAAGGTTTTAGTTCTGTAGAAAAACAGTGTTTTGTCAAACAATTGTCAATCAATATTCAATATATGTTAACTGAAATTGTGTTTATATATATATATATATATATATATATATATATATATATATATATATATATATATATATATATATATATATATATATATATATATATATACATTTATATATATGTATATTTATATATATATATATATATATATATATATATATATATATATATATATATATATATATATATATATATATATATATATATATATATATATATATATATATATATATATATATATATATAAATAAACGTTTATATATATATATATATATATAAATAAATGTTTGTTAATTAAGTTAGTGCCTTGATCAAACAAAATTTTAAATTTTTCATTTAAACAAAGATGACAAATTTTTGAAACTGGCTGGTATAGCCTGTACTTGTAAGCAAAGAACATAGGGAATTTATTTATAAAGCATGCAAAAAAATCTTTACTTTTTAACAACAGAATTAAAAAAAGAGCTGGTTTATTTGATGTTACCATAGGCGCATTCAACGGAGCATAGGTATGTGAACTAGATGTTATTTTCATTTTGTTTTCAGCATAAACAAAACTCCCTCAAACCTAAACTCCAAAGTATGAACCTTGATAAACAAGGATGCTGTACCCATTAAGTGTGGTAATTCCAGAGTTTCATGGGTTAAACAGGTTGAGCATGTTAACTATTATTATCATTTTCGCTTCCAACAAGGCTGCAAACAACCACTATTAGAGTTGGAGGTTAAATTTAATAAAATAATAATTATATAAGTATTAGGCATATTTAAACTACGTATATACAAATATGCATATATATATATATATACATATACATATATATATATATATATATATATATATATATATATATATATATATACATATATATATATATATATATATATATATATATATATATATATATATATATATATATATATATATATATACATATATATATATATATATATATATATATACATATATATACATATATATATATTTATATATATATATATGCATATATATATATATATATATATATATATATATATATATATATATATATATATATTATATATATATATATAATGCTGACCTAACTGCTGCCGACCTCACTTCTATGTTTTATGCTAAAACTTAAGTGTCTCTTTTTTTTGCTGACCTTATGCCGATCTCTAATAGTTTATTTATTACCTCCATTTTTTTTAATTTAATTGCAAGGGCTGTGTGTATATATATATATATATATGCATATATATATATATATATATATATATATATACATATATATATATACATATATATACATATATATATATATATACATATATATATATACATATATATATATATACATATATATATACATATATATATATATATACATATATATATATATATATATATACATATATATATATATATATATACATATATATATATATATATATATATATATATATATATATATATATATATATATATATATATATATATATATATATATATATATATATATATATATATATATATATATATATATATATATATATATTATAGTATATATATATATATATATATATATATATATATATATATATATATATATATATATATATATATATATATATATATATATATATATATGTATATATATATATATATATATATATATATATATATATATATATATATATATATATATATATATATATATATATATATATATATATATATATATATATATATGGGAATTGAAAACAGCGGGAATAGAGAACTTTAGCTCTCACACTCGCCTAAAATGGTTTACAGGAGCAATTTACGGCTCGCAATTGAAAATAGTCATCTGGTACCAACAAATAATTTCACAAAAAAAAGATATGTTTGTTACAAAAATACTGAGAAATAGTTGATTACAGCACAGATACATTAAAATACAATACAAAAACATCCTTAAAAAGTTTGTGTTTGTATTGTATTTAAATATTTCTTCAGCATTTAGTGATGCATATAGTTTGGTTGCCAAAAATCTACAAAAGAAGATTAAAACAGTATTGTAGTAAGCAAAATAAGTAATATTATCAACTAACCAAAAAGGCAAATAACTTGTCACAAAATTACTGTCATACTTGCTTCATATGGTGTATCTGGGAAAGTTTTTGAGATTATCAAAACGTTTCTTTCTAACCGCTTTATTAAAGTCACTCTCAAAAGGCAACACTCTTCTTTACTTTCAGTAACTTCTGGGGTACCTCAAGGTTCTATCCTTGGTCCTGTTTCTATTTTTATCTATATCAATGATCTTCCTGACAACCTTACATTTAGAGTAGTTCTTTTTGCTGATGATTCAACTTTATACTCCTGTCTTGACAAAAAGTCATCTCTTTTCGATTACTTAGAACAGGCTGCCAATTTTGAATTGTAACAGATTGGAGCTCATGGTGGCTTGTAAATTTTAACTCAAATTTTAAACAAAACTTAGTTATTTACTGCAAACAACAATCCAATATGGTCAACATTCCTATATAAATGAATGGCAACCTACTTTCTGAGTCCTCTTTTTTACGCCTTCTTGGATTATCAATTGCTACTTTTCAAGGAAACCATATATACAATCGATTGTTAAATTAGCATCTGCTAAGGTTACTTCTCTTTATTGTGCTTGCCATTTTCTTACTCCTGATTCCATTCTCTACCTTTACAAATCTCTTATTTGTCCCTGTATAGAATACTGTTGTCATATTTGAAATTTGGGCAATAGTGTTTGTCATACTGTACCAAATAGGGCTGGTTTTTCTAATGATGCTCTTTCTATTCTAGACAAGGTCTAAAAAAGCAGTTATCTTCTCTAGTTCCATCAACTAAAACTTATTCATGCTTAACTCATCATTTGTTTACTCATTTATTTCAATATTGGCTTAGCATAGGAACAGCCACAAATAGTCATTAAGACTAATCCAAAGTAGCATCCGTTATTGACCAACATTTTTGTGTACCGAAGTACTACTCAAGCGTTGAGTTGGCGATGGCAGGAATTTGAACTCGTATTGTTCAACAGTCCGGATTTTAACTTATCTTTTGACGCTTTAACCAACTGATCTATCCCGCCACAAAAAAATCATGGGAGTTATAACCCATATAAAAACTTCCATTAAAAAATTGTCAAATATGTGCTGCTTGAATGTGACTTGAATGATTTATATTTATTTATTTTTTTACTTTTTTTATTATTTTTGATTTTTTTTTGTTTGTTAAACATTTAAATTTCATAGCTTCTACCTTTTCAAAGTTGTTTATTAATTTTAATTAACAATCAAATAAGAAAAAAAAAACCATGCATCTGAATTTCTTTATCTGTACAAACTATCTTAAAAAAACTTGCAGTCAAATAAAATAAAATGTCAAAAATAAGTAATACTGATTTTCAAAAAATTTGTAAAAAAAAAAAAAGAAAATCAATGCATACCTTGTAGATTTATCAAACAAAGAAAGATCAATGCATAATTTAAAAGAAAATCAATGCATAAATTAAAAGAAAATCAATGCATAATTTGTAAAAAATCAATGCATACCTTTTGTTCATCAATGACCCTAAGATTTTTGAATGTATCATCTCCCAATTCATGCTTAAAAATATCTAGTGTTTTGAACTCTTTATAATGCATAGGTTTGAATGATCTTGTTGTTTTTAATATAGTGTCAGTGTCTATTGTTCCTCTATTCTCTTTAAATGATTTAGTGAGACTATTATTTTCTTCATAATTGGCTTCAGTATTATCATTTGTTTCCTCAGATATTTTATTAAAAGGCAAAGGAATATCATCAAAGACTTTATTTCCAGCCTCATTTTTCAAAATTTTCACCCTTGGATTTTCACGTGCAAGACGAACATCACTAACTGCTATTAAAAAATATATATAAAATATTATAAATCATATATAAAAATATACTATAGATTATTATAAATAATAAATCACTTATAATTTCATTAAAATGATTAGAAAATAAAAAATATATTTAAATAAAATTGAACAATATAGCATTCATCTTTTTAGATAGTGGTACACCCTGCTGTGGTACAAAAATTAAATTGCTGTGGTACCACCACCAAACTGTGGTACACACCACAAACTTTTACACCGTCAAACTGTCCTGGTAGACAAATAGAAATATAGTCTACAAAGTAATAAAGTTTTTAATGTAAATAATTTCTAGCTATGTACAACCAGTTTAATAAAAACTAACTCTTTATAATCATTCAATCAAACATTTTATTAACTTTAAAGTGAAAAAATTTTGAAATGAAAAAGTTATTATTAATTTAAAATTTTATCAACAATTTTATATAATTAATTATATAAAATATTATTAATTTTACTAATTTAAGTAGATTAAAATATATGTTAATTCGTTTTTATTAAAATATTTTTCAAATAGTTAACATTCAGCTAATATAAACTTTTTTGCTTAAACAACAAACAAATTAATGTTTTTTGCTTTAACAACCTTGAACCATTTATAAGGGTTATAACCTTAAAAACCATTAAATACATTTATTAAAAAAGTTAATAAATGCATATAACCGTTTATTTTAAAAAGTAAAAAGTAATTTTAAACTTGGTTTTACTGAATTAATTTCTTTTCAATTGTTGCAGTAAAACACAAGTTTTGTGAATTTTAAAAAATTTATTTAATAAACAACAAAAATCTATCAAATAAACAGCAAAACCTACTCAGTAAGCAATAAAACTATAAATATTAGTATTAAGTTCAGAAAAAATTTCTATAAAAAATGTTAAAAATAATTGAAAAATTAGATGAAAATTACAAATTGTAGAGTTGCAAAAAAAATTTTGATTCTTTAGAGATTTCTCCATTTTCACACACTTGCACAGTGTAAAATATACTAAATCTTTTAATACATCTATCAAATCACACTAAAATACACCTTACAGTCACCATAAAATACACCATAAATTATACTTTATAATACATTTTAAAACACACATTACAATACAACCTACATTACGCCTACAATTACAATATAATTTTTTAATTTATGATTAATTTTTTTTTTAATAAACTTGCTTTTAAATTTTATTTGCTGTAAATTAATTCTCTCATAATCTAATAAACAATTTTTTTTTAAATACTAGTTTTGAACAAATCCTAGAACCATATATTTGTTTTTAATCTATATTTTTATTAACTGTTTGATTTGATTCAGTAGCGCTACTTATAAAATCAGCAGAATTTTTTTGTAAATTAATGCCAACATTAATTTACAAAATCACATACTATGTGATCGGTATGGGAACCCCAAGTAATGGTCCCAAATTTAAAGTCTACAAAATCTAACATTAAAATTTTATTTATTACTAAGGACTACCGAGAAGGACTAGATTGTTATTCAGATAAAAAGACTTATAAAAAAAAATACTTAGTATATGAAATTATAATATTTTTTGTTTTTCATCTTATACTTTCCCTTTTTTTTTGGGACCCACTGAAAATAAATTATAAGTTGATATCTAAATATTATATAGCCTCCTCGTTTGCCTTCTCGGCCTTAAGAAGGTGAATTTAAAAAAAAAAAAAAAAAATTATATTTTTTCTAAGTACAAAAGAAATTCAATTAAATAATATTTTATTAAAATGATTTACCTAGTGACTCTGGTAACCCTTCAAAACGCTCCTGAATTTCTCTTTTGCTGATTCGTATTGGACTATAATCATCAGTTTGATCTTTACTTGTTGGAACTTTTTTAATTTTAGAACTGAAATGGTGTACCTTAACTAGAGGATCAGCACCAGATCCTGAAACCCATGCATCACCAGACTCATATGTAACTAAATATTAAAAAGAAAACTATACTTTTATCCTTTTTTTTTCTTTTTTTTTTTTTAATCGTCTATTTGACTCCAAAAAATCTATTTTAATCAACTTAATTTTTTCAACTTTCCAGTTTTTTAACATTTCTATATTTTTCAACTTTCCAGTTTTTTCAACATTTCTATGTTTTCTAGTTTTTTAACATTTCTTTTTTAACGCTTATTTTTATTTTTATTTAACTTAAACTTTATCAAATCTAAATACTTGATAATAAGTTTGATAAATATTTGATAAATATGTCAACTCAAGATAAAAACTTTAAAAAATGAACTTAGGTTATATCCTAATTCTTTTTACATCTAGGTTAACATTCTTGAAACCCTCAACAAAATATTCAAAGAATAATAAAAATTTATTGCTGCTCTAACCAATTCTATGTAGCAGCAACTTACTTGCATATTCTAACTAAATCTGTCAATGTATATACTGAAGCCCCAACAGCTCCCTATTTCAGTATGACATTATCAGTGAGTATCTAATGCTGCATATATATATATATATATATATTATATATATATATATATATATATATATATATATACATGTATATATATATATATATATATACATGTATATATATATATATATATATACATATATATATATATATATATATATATATATATATATATATTATATATATATATATATATATATATACATATATATATATATATATATATATATATGTATATATATATATACATGTATATATATATATATATATATATATATATATATATATATATATATATATGTATATATATATATATATATATATATATATATATATATATATATATATATATATATATATATAAATATATATATATATATGTATATATACAGAGGGTAGACTAAGGACATGTTTGGCCACCTTTTCTCTTTGATGTGTAATTTTTTTATTTTTTTACAGAAAAATACAAGATCCTAAAACACCTGTAAATAGCATTATTAAAAGTTTATAATTAGTTTTAATACACTTTAGGCTGTGTCTGATGGGCCAATGCGCCCCACTATTGGGGTAAGTTAGTCCAGGGGTTAAAAATGGAAGCAAATTTAATTTTTACAAATTTCCTACTGCATTATTTTATGTTTTATCTATTTTAATTAAAACAAATTATAATTGAAAACTAAAGTGTGTTGGACATTAGTATAAAACCCTGTTAATACTAAAATAAAACCTAAATTTTTTGTTTAATTTAATTCTTGTTACCCTAAGTTTATTTTTAACTTTTAAAACAAGACACAAAATTAAATTATCGGAAATGAAAACAAGCTATTTAACAAAAAAAAATTGTTGAGGATTGATTTTAACATATTGCCAACATGCTCCATTTGTATTGGGCCAACCTGCCTCATCAAAATGTTTAAAGTATAAACCATTTTATTATTAAACCATTAACCAATATTTTTTAACATTACATAATAAAATAATCCTTGAACTATAGGCTTTAAATTTAAAGGATATAAATGTTGAACTGTTTAAACTCTAATATGCTCACAAAATTTACTTTAATGTATAAAAAATTGCTAAAACAACCCTAAAAATCTAACTATCCAATAAATATGATTTTTTTTGGAATGGGTTGTATTATAACCAACTTTCACCTACATTCCAAGCTCGCTAAAGCATGTATTTTTTAAATTAACTGGGCCAACCTGCCTTTATTTCTAATCTGCCCTGGTGTACCCTATGCATATACTATATGTTTAAATTAATAACCAAAGCTTATGCTCTGTGTGAATTTTAAGAGAAGTAATTTCAACTTAAAAACTTTCAAGGTAATATATTTGTAAATCTTTGTTATGACATACTTTGACACATCTTGTGACAAGTTTTTTATTCCATATTTTGAGATAATAAAGTGAATGAACTTTTAGATTAAATACATTTTTTGGTGGTTAAAAGAAACCTTATTTTTGAATACTAATTGTGTTAGTGTGTAGACTAACATTACAATTTTGTTAGAATAAATCAAAACTATTTGTTCTTTAATGCTTTATAAAGTAAAATTTTTTAATAATTTTCAAAGTCATCTCTTTAACTACACAGACAATCCAGAATAACTCAAACGAAATGGTAAAACTTATGTAAAATATTGTATATGCAAACTTGGTGTTAATAAAAACTGAGGACAAATAGAAGTCATTTCAAGACTTTTCTCTAGTCTTAAAAAACTAATTTTCATAGTTAATTTTCTAAGAATACATCCTATAAAATAGAGTTGAAGTGCAACTTGTACGAAAAAAGAATTAAATAGAAAACAGAAAATATACACAATATATTTATATGTTAAATATATATACAAAAATATTCTCAGTTTGCTAAATCTTTTATTTCATCTCAGAAGTTAACATTTTATGTCTAAAACCTTGGTATGATCTTATCAGACCAAAGTATTAGATATGGAATACCTAACACTTTGGTATCTTTATATCCTTTTCCAAGAATAAAGTACAACTATTTATAAAACGTTTTCTTCAAATGAACCGCATTTTTATTGTTCCTAAGGAAACAATTTAATCTATTATAAGACACCCAAATCACCATGGTTTCCATTGCAAAAACTATTTCTCTCTTAAACTCTTTAACTCTTGTAATATTTTTACAACTTTTAGTTTGAATCCTGCTTTTTAATTCTTTGCTTTATGAATTTTTCTATTGGTAGTCATTATTTTTTCTGACATTAACCGCACAACATTCCAATCATCCAAAACAATGAATGTATAAAAACAAAATTAGTTTATTAACTTAAAGTTAAATAAAAATGTATAAATGAAAACAAATTAATTACCTACACATCTTATTTTTTATTATAACACAACTTTAAAGACTTATTTTGAAATAAATTGAGAATTTTAAAAAAAGTTTAAATAGTAAACAACAAAACCCTAAAGCTATGCAATATTCCATTGTTTTTTTCTAATATAAAAGTAAAGCCACAGAAACGTATTTGTACTAGTAGATAAGAGAAGTCCATTAACGAAAAAATAAAACGTTTCTTGTCTGACTTCCCAAAACTCATAGGAAAAAAATTCAGATAAAAAATCATCTAAACTAGTGGTTGCTTGCAGATGAAAGTAAATTAATTTTAAAAAAATAATTTTTTATTTTAGATTTTTTAAATCACAATAAAAATCATTGAAAAGAAATTTTGATTTTGAACAATGTAAATCATTCAAAAAATAAAGAAATTACTCTATTTTCCCCTTTATTTAAGAGATACTTTATTAGCCTAACCTTTTGAGCACAAAATAAAAAGCGAAATCATCTTGAACTTGAAAAATCATGATCTTTAAGATTATGCGGTGTCAGAAATAATTAAATGAAAGAAACATTGATGTTAGAAACAGGTTACATAACTTGGATAGAGCTTACAATATCACAAATTGTCAATTTAAAAATGGTAAAAACTGATCAAGAATTGCATTATTTTAATTCTTTTCTACATATTGGCGGACATGGAGGACAAAATTTTCTGAAAAATTGTCATGAAGTGTTTGAATAATTTATGATCAACCAAAAGATCAACAAGGTATGACACAAACTGTGGAGATATTAGATGCAAACTGTGGAGATATTAGACGCAAACTGTGGAGAAGAATTATTAAAATCTAAAAACACTTTTCTAGCTCCTTCAAACACATTCAAAAGTTTACCTTAGCATTTGATTTTAAACTTATTATTATTAGCCATGGATCGTTTCCATGTACCTTATTTCTTTATCTTGATTTACAATGCAAACTTAAATTAATTTGAATTTTTAAATAAGCAAAAACTATAAGACTATTATTCAAGTACATCACGTAGCGTCATACATCACATCATGGTCACATCATATATCAAATCATGTCATACATCACATCATGGTCGCGTTTAAATAGAGACACGCTTGAAGATAATAATAATAAAAAAAACAAAACTTTCATTAAGCAATTAAATTCAGAAATTACCATGGAAACAAATCTTATGCACTCCAAACTAATCCATGTCTGTTAGAAAAAAAGTGAAGAAATTATAAAAATAATTTCACCTGAATACCATTCATACACAATACATATAAATTGTTAACCACAAATAAAAAACAGAAAAACTTTAAAAAATAAGCTCTTGAATTAGGCCATTTTTTTTTTACTGGCTTTATCATTTTTTATAAACAGTTTTTTCAAATTCAATTTGTACAAATAGAGAATGTATAATCAAACTCCAAAATGTATAATCAGACTCCAAAGACACAAAGTACTATTCATTTCAGTAAGTTAATATTAGGTTAGTCTTTGTTTGATATAACTGCTGAATTTGAGATTAAACTTGATATAACTTAAAAAGAGCTTTATTTAAAACCATATGTCAATGATGTATTTGCAAAAAAGAATTCACATGGATAGAAATTTCAAATAATCACATTTAACCCTAAGGATTATCTCATTAATCACAAAATCGGCTAGGTGTTACAGATCCAATATCTGAAACAGCCCATAATAAACAAGACACTTATTAGGTCTTTTAGTCTAAAAAAAAGGTTAAAAGAGTCATGGTTATTATATACAGTTTGACTGTATGTATATATATATATATATATATATATATATATATATATATATATATATATATATATATATATATATATATGTATATATATATATATATATATATATATATATATATATATATATATATATATATATATATATATATATATATATATATATATATATATATATATATATATTTCCAAAGACTTTTAAAGAATTATCTTTTTGAACAACAAGAAATTATTTCTCAACCACTAAAATGGTAGTAACAAGTTTATACACAGTTACTTTTTTTTAACAACTTACTTTTTTCAAAGGAATACAAAAAACATACTGGAAAAGGTTGTAAAAAAAAAATAGGTGAACAAGCCTTTTAATTTCATTCCACTTCTAGTTCCATTATACTTTCTTGTCAACCCAACTGTTATTCATAATGAATTTTTTAATTTATATGTTAGTTAGACAATTTCCCATAAAAAGTTGGATAAAATTACTTATGATGATCAGTTTAGTTATATTTAAAGCCTTTTATAAAAATTTTATAAGACCTAAAAGTAATCATACATAGAAATGGGTCAAAAAGCAGTAAGTGAAGCAACAAATTGGCAAATAAAGTTATGAAGATAATCAATAATCAGTAATAGAGAAAATGTGTTTCGTCAAACACAGTAAGAAACATTTTATTAAGGAAAAAACTTGGTGTTAATGCAGCAGTTAGAAAACCTATATTTGGAGAAGATTTCTAAACAAAATCTGCAGCAATCTTGTAAAATTGATGCAAAAAAGCTGGTGACGGATATTTTAAATACTAGCTTAGATGTTATTTTTGTTACTTTAATTTATTATGTATTGCAGTTTTTTATTGATATTTTTTGTTTGATAACGTTTTTATGTACAATTTTATGTTTTAGCCATCCAATATGCAAGATTTGTTTAAAAAAGATTTTTCTCGCAAATAAAATAACATTTTTTTAATTTCTTTTCTTTAATTTTATTTTATGTTAGTTTAAATTTTTAAGCAACAAAATTTTTATGCACCTGTTTTTTTTTGAAAGCACTGTATATACAGTTTCACGCCATAATCAGATGTTACCATTTTAAAAAAATGTTAAGAAAAGAAAGATATTATCAGATGTGAATGCCTGATGATCCCATAAAGCGTAAAACTCTGAGTTATGTTACAAATTTAATTTAATTTTATTATTATTTTGTTATAATATACATTTGCTTTACTTTTGTATATGCAACCCTTAGAATTAGTAATAATGAGGTCGGCAATACATTGCTGACCTCAATCTTTTTGAGGTCGGCATCTGGTTGGAAAAAATTATTTGATACAAAGGTCTGACCATAAAACATAGAAACGAGATTGGCAATTTTCTGCCAACCTCAAATACTTTCAGGTCAGCAGTTAGGTAGGCATTGCCAAATACCGACCCTAATTCGAAGGGTTAGTATATGTTAATATGTAAGTACAAAAAGAAAAAATTGGGCAAAGTACTACCAGGAGCATGGCGAGAAATGAACTAGATACTTATTGCTTAAAATCTAAACATTCTACACCACTACAGCATATTGATACACCACATTATATGAGTTATATTATTGTAGCTCAAAGTAGTATTTTTTATTTGTAACAATTCTAACAACTACATAAAGTTAAAAAAAAATAGTGACAAATAAAGTATAATTTTTTATTTTTAATGTTTATTAATAAGTATAATTTTTTATTTTTAACTACAACATACCATTCTCAAGTCCACTCCCACTTGCGCTTTCTGCTTCATCAATGCTTATAGCTTCTAGTGTGCTTTTTAATTTAAATGGGCGCTCACCATCTAACTTATCACCTGTAAATTCATTTTGTAAACCTGAATCATAATCGTCAACAGAGCGCTTTTCAACATTGTCAAAAAAATCCTTTAACTTTTCAAAAGAGTCTTTCTCTTTGTCAGCATATCTTTTGTCTAATCTCTGTTCTTTGATATCATCTGGTGAAACTTTAGGTGTTTGAAGTAAAGCTTGAAAAACTTCATCATTTGTAGTAAGCTTTGATAAAGGAATATTGTCTTTTGCTAACTCTATTGGTTTTTGCTCATTTAAATTAATATAATCATCGTCTAAAACTCGCTTTTGACGCTTTAGAGTTGTGTCTTTTAAGAGTGTATCTATAAAAATTTAAGCTTATACATTATAGTTATAAATTATAACATCCAAAAAAACTTCATTCTGAAGAAAGCTTTTTGAAATAACTTAATAGAATATTAATAACATAACTTACAATCAACAGCAATTACTTGAACACAGAAAAACAGCAGAGCTTTAGTAAATAATCTACAAACAATTTATTTCAAAGCTTAAATATATTAGTTCTTTATTAAAAATATTTCAAACTAACATATACAATATAAAATAATTATTTAAACAGTATAAAAATTTTTTTGAAAATTAGATATCCTCAAAATTTAAAAAAATTAAAGTTAATGTTTTAAAAGTTTTTTTTATTGTTTTAAAAGCTAGAATTTGTACATAATATCAATTTTTTGTCATTTTAAAATTGACTGATATTCCATGATACTCTTATGCTATATTTGATTAAAAATATTTTCAATAATTTTCTTTTACAATTAGGGGATATCCCAACATTATAAAAATTACCACTTAAAATTTATATCCATGTTTTGTCTGTTAATAAGCTATCACATGAAATAAGTATCGATCCATTTTTATTGATATTAGTACTTATATAGAAAAAAATCTAATTATTGACGCAAAAGGTAATTTTTTTGTTTTAAATAACCCGCAGAGAATCTCTTTTCCAATTTTAACCTCCTAAACTTTTTTGTTGTTTATTGTTTCATAATATCTTGAGTTAAAAACCTTTGTGTTTGGTTTACTTTAAAAATTGATTTCGACTTTTAACAACATTGTTTATATATAACATTTGTGGGGTACATTCGACCTACCTAGCTGGGGAACATTCGACCGGTGCTTGAAAATACCACAACAATTTATTTCTCTTATCTTTTAGATGCCTCGAAAATATGTAACAAAAACATATAGAAATAAAAGAAATGAAAATGTGGTATTAGAAAAAATTATTAGTATTTTCAATAATTCATTGTCTGAACCACAAGCCGCAAAAATATTTCATTCCCAGATATGTCGCAAATAGAACCCTAATGGGAGAACCAAGTGAAAGTCTAGGGGTAGTAGGTACACCATTACAAAAAAAATTACCACTCTTATCTACCAATGAAATGCATTCCTCCTGCAACTGCTAGAATAACTCTAACAAAAACTGATTTATTAAAAACTGATTCTAGAACATGTGCAGCCCTTGCCTAAAGCTTCTTAAAGACAAAATAAATAAAGAGGAAATCAAGTCAACGATATATGCTAACACTCCTGAAAAGGAAAAGATTGAAAAACTTCATTTGCAAAAAGTTGAAAAAAAAAAGAAAAGTCATCAACCTGAAAAAAAACACTTTTAAAGTCTGCGACTCCAACAAAGACGAAAAGAGCGACAACGTTATTTTTATTTCAATATAACTTTGCAAATCTTGTTGTAAAACAGCTATTACTATTTGTATTTAAATATTTTTTGGAAAGTTTTTATTGTACAATAAAACATTTATAAGAAAGAAAGTTTATAGATTTATTATTTTGCTAATAATGATTTTTTTGAAAGTACCCCTCTAGTTGGTCGAATGTACCCACCAGTGGTATACATTCGACCACTTA